GTTTCCAATGGCTTCAGATCTTTTCTGTGTGATGTATGGGCGCGAGTGCAAGTACGGAGCTCCTTACTTCTCCGCCATCTTGCTCTCTCTCCAACACTTAGGTTTTAAAAATGACCTTATTCAGCAGAGGAAACACCTGGTCCCTTATGCTGAGTTGCTATCACAGTTACAGAGTGAATGCCACTGGTCTGCGAATTCGCAAGCCGAAGTTGGTCAGTGCAGCGCTTGAGCAGGGATGCCTGGGGGTGAGTCCTGGAGACATGCCTTTGGACAGAAGGGACTAGCCATGACCTGGCTCTAAGAAAAGTTGCAGATTTAGTTGTGCCAGGGGCCCAGAGCCCAGCACCAGGAGAGAGTAAGGACTGTTTCCCAGGGCGGGCCCTGCCCACCTCTGTGGCCCTGCCTTCACGACCCCTGCCTAGGATCCCTGGGCAGCCCTGACCCCATCGTCACCCCTGATCCTCTCTACACATCCAGCTCTTTGCGGTGCAAACCCTCCAAAGATTCTGTGTCTCCCTGTGGCCCAAATGCCCTTCTGGGCTTCTCGGTGTCTTTGCACACACACAAGGTGGTCTACCGCTCACACTGGGGCTCCTGGCCATCCCAGGTCGCTTCTGCACTGAGGCTGACTCGTGACAGCCCATGGCCGTGCACTGACTGATGGGACCAGGTGGCAAAGGCATATGAAACCCTCCCCGACAACGAGCAATGGCTCTGAACCCCTTCCCCTGTACCCAGCAAGAGGCGCAACCAAGGCCATCTCGGAAAGCAAAACGAGCCTGTTTAAAATCACTCTTTGTTGCGCTGCATCCTTTCTGCCCCTCGGGGATGTGGGCAGCCACCCAAAGATGCCTGTTGACCTTCACTGGCCCCACCCCCTCGATCAACCTGGGAAAGGGCACCTCCAGCGTGGCGGCGAGGGGGCCGTGGCGGGGCTGTCCATGATGCCTTTGTTTCGCTGCAATAAATCCTGTGCAGGAGGAAGCCAACCAGAATGAAACGGTGGGGCACACTGCTCCTCCCCCAGTGCTCATTTATGTGTCCTGTTTAACCCTACGACAGCCCTGTGGCGATCCCCAGTTTACAGAGGGGAAACTCAGAACAGCTCCCATTTCCTGGCAGTCGACCTGATGCCGCATTCCGCACTATGGTCTGAGATCAGGATCACGATGAGGGAGAAATGACCAGCTTCTCGGATCTCTGTCTTCCTAAATCTGAGCCTGCGGTACCCTCGTTCCAGGGTGGCAAGGAATCCGTGGCAGTTACTCTTGTGATCTAAGCCCCCACCCTCTCATCCCCCTCCCCCAGAACTTCAGGCTGCTGGACTGTTCATGGAGTCCTGAACTGAAGCAGGGCCCCCCGGAGGCCAGGTGGTGGTGGGCACCCCCTCGTTCTGCACGGGGTGAGCTTCCTCAGCCCCTGGCCCCCAAACACTGTCCGCTCCTGGGCTGCGTAAAGAGCGAGGGTCTTTGCCAAGCAGGCAACCCTGAGCTGGGACCTGCCTAACCCTAACCCGGGGCCACCCACCCTTCTGGGGTCTTCCCCAGGTGAGAACACTCACCACCTGGCGGCCGCCCACTACAACCCCATCCCTGCGTCGGGCAACGCCCCTCTTTTTCCTCTGTTGACCTCAAGAGTGCTCCCTTGTCATTGTCCCTCACATAGCACCTACCAAGACTGAAACAATAAACCACAAGACAATAGACCGAAGCCCACATGGTGATTAATAATGTTACATGTGCAGCGTCTCATTTTTAACCCTCGCAGAAGCCCTCTGTGGGTGGGTATTCTTACCCTCATCTCACAGATGAGGAAACTGAGGCTTAGACCTGACAAACGGCTTACCCCAGTGCCTCACAGCCTGTTAGGTGTAGAGCAGGGAGTGCACCCCACGTCTGTCTGCCTCATGCCTGAAGAGTTCCTCCAGATTCTGTCTTTTAAAACCTAGTGAGTCTGGGGCGCCCATGTGGCTCAATTGGTTAAGCGTCTGACCTCTACTCAGGTCATGATCTCATGATCTGTGAGTTTGAGCCCCACATCGGGCTCGGTGCTGACAGCTTGGAGCCTGGAGGCTGCTTCTGATTCTGTGTTTCCCTCTCTCTCTGCCCCTCCCCTGCTCATGCTCTGTCTCTCTGTCTCAAAAATAAATAAACATTTAAAGAAAAATATTGAGTCTAACACTGAAAACAAAAGCCCAGGGGCAGGCTTCCCTTTTCCTCATGCAGGCCAGGACTTCTACCCATGCTGCCTCCTGGGGTCTGTACGGGGCTTCCCCGCAGAGCCCCGCTCCTGCCTCTGAGAAAGAGCGTGGGTAAGCGCTCAAGTCTTCTGCCTCCGCTGGCTTCCAGCCCTCTCCCGTGAGCGGTGCCCTGGCCGGTGCTGCGGGAGCAAGCAGGTGCCTCAAGGGAGCACTGAGGGGGCGATAACAGGGGTCTGGGGCCTGGAGCTAAGCTGGGGAGTCAGCAAGCAGTGACTGGGTCTCCTTTCTATAGCTCTCTGCAGGCGCAAGGCAGGGTTCTTGGGAGCCTGGCTGGCAGCTCGGAGGGGCTGGGTTGGCAGCAGCGACCCTGCCCCCTAATTAAATGGAAGAGCCAAGGGAGCAGGATAATGAGCTGTGGCCCCCTGGCCATGGAGGTGGCTGCCTTCCTTCACTGGGCGGCAGCTAGACTCTGCCAGAATGTCCGTAGGGGCTAAGACACCTGTTTTAACTTACGGATAAAGCCAAAAGGAACGCAGCAGTGTCAGAGGGAGGCTGGGTGAGACTACCCTGGGGGTCGATGGAAGCTCCAGGCCCCGCCCCTGTATCTGAAGACTGTAGGAAGCCAGCTTGTCCAGAAGCTAAAGAGTTCCATGTAGTGTAGATGGCTTACACGCTCTGGTTTGCAATGAGGGCCTTTGAGCCCTGGGATTTTATATCATCTGGGTGAAAATCTTCTTTTACCAAAAGGGGCACAGAGAAACAGGGACCCCCAAGGGAAAGGGTCCTGCCCAAGGTCACTGCCAGGGTCTCCTGAGGGTTTCTAATCAGTGAATGCTGCCGGAAAATCCAAGGAGGGAGGTGAGGATTCCGGGACATGGCTCTGAACTCAGGGGTGGGGGGAAGGGTGGGTAGAGGTGTGACAGAGGTGCCAGGAAAGAGACAAGGCCATGGTCATGGGAGAGGTCTGTCAGGCTTGGCTTTGTGCCCTCACTGTGGAAGCTGAGGTCTGAACACCCCCGGGGAGACCACGGAGTGAGGTCAGCAGCTGGAAGTGGGGAGGGGAGGTTTTTTTTTAGTCAGTCAAGGGCAAACACTGGCAGGCTCTAAAATGAAAGGCTCAGGCCCACTCCCCCTCCATAGACGAGGAGACTGGGGCCCTAGAAAAGCAGCCTGCCTGGGATGATCCACGGGGGACCCAGGCACAGGGCTGGGAGCTGGGTCTCTTCTCCAGAGCTTTGTGAGAAGCCACACCTCCTGTGGGGCCTCTCTGCTTGCTAAGGAGTGGCTAGAGCTTTCTTTTCCCACCTCAGTCCCCTTTGGTTTTCTCTTCCTTATTCCTGGTGGGGAGGGGCCTTGGGTAAGACAGAATGAAGACAGATCCCACATCCCCTTCATAAAGCATCCAAGCAAAGTCGCCACAGGTGTGTGTTGCCAGGGCCTTCCCTGAAATTTAGGCGAGGGCTGGAGACCTGAGCTTCTCTCCGAGTGGACAGTGAGGATCACTGCCCAGGGCCAAGAAGGCCTCGTCACCCCTCAGCGACCCACTGGAGTGGCTAGGGGAGGGGACAGGCCAGGGGAAGCAAGAAGAAAGAAGAGTGTCCCCCGGTAGGAAAAGGGACCGTGGAAACTTCTGGAAGCAGACCTGCCACAAAGGGAGCTCGGCAGGTGACTGAGAAGACCTCCCAATCAGCAGAAAGGAGGGACCAGCATGCCAACGGCATGGGTGACCCCACGTGCTCCTGGAAATGGTACAGCTCTGTTCTGAGCTGTCAGCCTGCCGCACAGGGAAATCCCCCCCAGAGCACAGAGGACCCCAGAGAATAGCTCCACACTGCCAGGGAGGGAAAGGTTCCTCACCAACATCACACACCACCAGGGACAAGGCCAACAGATTTGGCTAGGTGCAAATATTTCACTACTTATTTGCACTTATTAAAAATAAATAAAGAAACACCATATCCTGGGGTGCCTGGATGGCTCCGTTGGTTAAGCATCCAGCTTCAGCTCAGGTCATGATTTCACAGCTCGTGAGTTCGAGCTCTGTGTCGCGCTCTGTGCTGACGCTCAGAGCCTGGGGGCTGCTTCGGATTCTGTGTCACCCTCTCTCTCTGCCCCTCCCCGACCCCGACTCCATCTCTCTATCTCTCTCTCTCAAAAACAAAGAAACAGTAAAAACAAAAAAACAAAAACAAAAACAAAAACAAACCCTAAAGGTAAAAAATAAACACCAAAACAGGGGGCGCCTGGGTGGCTTAGTCGGTTGGGCGTCCGACTTTCGCTTGGGTCACGATCTCGCGGTTCGTGGGTTCGAGCCCCGCGTCGNTGTGGAGTCTTTCGGTTTTGCTACATAGAGTATCATGTTATCTGCAGATATCTGAAAGTTTGACTTCTTCCTTGATTTGTATGCCCTTTATTTCTTTTTGTCGCCTAGCTGCTGAGGCTAAGACTTCCAGTATGATATTAAATAGTAACAGTGAGGAGCGCCTGGGTGGCTTAGTCGGTTAAGCGTCCGACTTTCGCTTAGGTCATGATCTCGCAGTTCGTGGGTTCGGGCCCCGCATCGGGCTCTGTGCTGATTGCCAGCTCAGAGCCTGGAGCCTCTTTCAGTCTGTGACTCCCTCTCTCTCTGACCCTCCCCTGCTCACGCTGTCTCTCTCTCTCTCCTAGAAATAAATTTTAAAAAACATTAAAAAAAAGACACCGAAACAAAGTGAAAAGACAAGCCACTGACTTAGAAAAGATCATTTCTCAGATAATAGCAAAAGCTGAAGATCCAAACTAACTTGAGAAGGAGCGAGTCCGGACTTCCTTTGAGGCAGCCTGGAAGGGACGGGAAAAGCGCCGGAAGAGAAGAGTAAACGGCTGGTTTGGGCCTTTGTCCGAGCTCCGTGGGCATTTGGAATGTTCTGTGAGCAAGAGTCTTCCGGCTGCTGTTGTGCTTTTCCTGGCTATGGACCTGTCCAGCCTGGACGTTGCAAACAAAGAGTACCCACAGTGTTTAATTATGTTTGAAGAAGATTATTTGATTAATGTGAACTTTATGCTCCAAGGAGGCAAGGCCCACACAGCAGTGTGTATCTGGTGCCTTGTGCGGTGGTGGGCCATCCACGACCCCCGTCAGTATCTGTTAAATCAATGGAGCACTGAATCTCTGAGACAGGAGGTGAGTCATCGACCCCTGCTTCACTGAGCTAGTGCCTTCGCTTGCCTGTGATGGGAATCTCTGCCCAACCCTGTCACCCGGAATGAGGGACTCTGGGAAGGTGCCAGTTTAATCAGCCATCACTCCTGGCGGGAGCGGCAGGGGTGATCTGGAACGTTCCCTGCATCGACGGTGCTAGGGTTGCGGAGTGACACGCCCCTCTTCTGGGTCACCATCAGGCAGGGAGGAAGAGGGTGTGTGCCCTCCAGCAAGAAACAGGAAGAACATGGTGCACAGGTGTTCAGCGGCACTGTTTTGGCTTTCTAGGTGGTTCCTGAAAACAAGCTTCAAGATAGTTCCGTAAAAGGCAGTGTGATTGCAAACAGGTGTCTCAGAAATGCATAATATGGCCTACTGTTTCTGAGTAACATCTTTTAAAGAGGATGGAAGAGCAGTCGGTTTGGAATAGTGAAAAAGATCAGAACATCGGTGTAATTGGGTAATTCACGAGGCTGGCAAGCCATCTAGGCTCCAGATGCGGATTCCTTTGCCGTCTCCAAAACAGTGTGTGCTGTTCTCTGACTGCAAAGTTGCCTTCTCCAGGCACCGAAAATTAATCGGGTGTTTCCTCAGAGGGGCTGCTATGATTGTATTTATTTTGGTTGTTTTTTTCATTTTGGCAAATTGGGAAGGCTGGAGTGTGTCTGCCCACTCATCCAACATTCATTCCTATGGGAAAAGAGCATACATTGGGTGTCTCTTACATGCTCTACCCGCTGCCAACAACTTTATTCCCTCATTCCTTCAGTCATTCATTTGTTCAGGAATCTCATGGTCATGGTCATGGTCCTCTGCTTCTGGGGTTACTGAACCGGAGGGACTTTTGAATGACCAAGCATAATAATTCCACTCCTCCTATCGATGATGGGTTTAATCATGATCACGTGACTTTTGAGCTGCTGGAAAAGGTTGCTTAAAAAGAGACACAAGCGTGTCCTTTAAGGGTGATGAGAATGTTTTGGAATTTGATATAGGGCAACATTATGAGTGTACTAACATTATGATTTGTAGACATTTTTTATTTTTTTTTAATTTTTTTAATGTTTTTTTTAAAATTTATTTCTAGGAGAGAGAGAGAGAGACAGCGTGACCAGGGGAGGGTCAGAGAGAGAGGGAGTCACAGACTGAAAGAGGCTCCAGGCTCTGAGCTGGCAGTCAGCACAGAGCCCGACGCGGGGCTCGAACCCACAAACCGCGAGATCATGACCTAAGCGAAAGTCGGACACTTAACCGACTAAGCCACCCAGGCGCCCCAGACATTTTTTATTTTTATTTTTATTTTTAATTTTTCTTTGCATTTATTT